CTGTGTGGGCCATGTGTGTCCCAAGTGTCACGCAGCGGCAGCAGCAGCCCCCACAGTAAAAAGAGCAATAGAGCAACAACAACAGTAACAGCAGCTAGAGCATCAACCTAGTTTTTGGCTTAAGATATTGAGTAACACGTTGCGAAGCCTAACCACATAGAACCAACTGTTGTTGGCCGCGGGGAAATATCTATATTGAAGGGAAATTAATTAAAGTCATTTATGGGAATTTCGCTCTTAAAGGCCTAGCCCAGCTCTTACAAACTCTACACACAAAGAAAGGCTTTATTTAGTATGTGAAACAAAAACATTTTATGGGGAAGTTACAGCGCTTACATTTACATACACACACAGCTCTCAAACAGACATTAGATCAGCGACTAAGTAGAACAACGATAAAAAAAAATATAGTAACAATGGGTTGCGATCGTTCGTGGTAGAGCTCCACCATAAAAACAACAACTCAAAAGTAGAAAAAAAATTAAACAGACTGCAAAAAAAAATCAACAGCAACAACAACAAAACCAACCGACAACACGCAATAGGGCAAGGCAAACAACAACAGCACTAGCGACAGAGCGGCAGCGACGTCGGCAGAGAGCTGAGCTGAGCCAGCAACAGGAATTTACGATTCAGTGGCTACCTTGTTGTTGTTGTATGTCTGAATATACACACTCACACACTTGAACATGCATTTCGCTGTATTTGTTGCTGTTTCACCTGGGTTGGGGCGCTGCGTGTTTGTGTGCATGGATCTTCGCCTAGGTGTGCCTGTATGGGAGAGAGAGCCTATTAGGCAAAGCACTCGCTTCCGTTGTAAGAGCATTAGGCAAGGGCAGCGGCGGGTTCCGTTACGCCTAAAGAGTGTAGAATCGACAAAAATAATAACAACACCCAGCAGCAGCCGCAACACGTATGTACATATGTACATACATATGTAGGTGTGTAGGATAAGCTTAGAGAAAGAGAGAGGTAAAATATTTGGCAGCTTTAAAGTTGCTAGCCGAAAATAACAAAAATATACATAAATATAAATTCATATAAAAGTACAAATAAAATAGAACAAAAAACAATCCAATTGCGCAGCGCTTATAGGATTCCAATTTGAAAATTCGTCATTCGCCTGTACGCTTCACTTGTAGAATTTACAGTTGCTTACGTAATGCCGCACCAACACAAGCGCCTACACACAAACGCTCCTTCAAATGCAGACACACATGCACACAAACACAGAGGCAATTTAATTTGTTGTTGCATGAGGCCTGCGTCGCTGGCTCAAGTTTCCACATGTTTTTCCAATTGCCGCAAAAGCCAAGCCAAGCCAACCACACACATACACACTCACACACTGTTGGAAAAACCAAAGGCAATGGCAGCGACTGCAGCCCAACCCCAGAGCAGCCCGACAGCCGCCCAACCCAAAAGCCGCCTATTGCCCTTACAATTACAACCACACAGAGTGAGCGAGAAAGAGAGAGAGAGAGAACGAAAGCGAGAGAGGTAGAGCGACATAAGCGGCTGCTGCGGTGCGGCACCCAATGTTGTTTCTAGCTTTTTCTTTTTCCATCATGTTTTTCGTTATAACCCCGTTTCGTCAACGTTGTTGGCACGTCCGTTCGTCCGTCCCCACCTCCTCTTCCTCCTTCCCGTCTTCCTCCCTCTCGCAGGCCCCATCGCGTGCAAGGGAAATTAAAAATTCAAAAGTCAAAGGCGCAAGCAGCGAATCGACGTCCGACTGCGCGAGCGGCCGAGCGAGCGAGCGAACGCAGCGAAAACAACACGAGTGTAGAGTTATAGACAGAAAGAGCACAAGAGCGTGTCGTTTTGGAGACTTGGGGATTCGGCCATCAACTGTTCGTTCCTTTTGTGAGAGCGTAACGTTGACTGCGCCGCTAGCTGCGCAGCTAGCGCTCATCGACGACTGCGACCGACGGATGTAGGATTGCTGTCCATGTGTGTGTGCGTGTATCTCTGTGTGCGTGCATGTGTGTAGCAAGAAGCTAATAAGCGGGCAAGTAGACGAAGAAGAAGAAGAAGCAACAGCAACGACGGCGACAGCAGCAGAGGCCTCGGCCGTCGCTTGGTTCGTCGTTTAGGAGCCGAGGATCGTTCAGTCAGTGTATTGGTGTCAAACGAGACGGACGAATTTGGCGGCAAAGAGATATTTCACTGCGTTTCGTTCGTTCGTTCGTTCGGTCGACGCGCCCCCTCTCCCACTCTATCTATCTCACTCGCACTGAATTGTGAAAATTTCCATTTGAAAAATTCGGGCAACGACAAGAAAAACAAGCAATTGTTGCAAAGTTAAAATTAATCAAAAATCGTGCAAAAACAAAAACAGAAAGTAAAAGTTAAGCAACAGGAAAACAGCAGGCGCCAGCAGTTAACGGGAAACAGCAAAGAAAGGTGCATATAAGTAAAAGAGAAATAATTGTGAAACATGTGAAAATGATTTTGCCAACCGCCCCCATTGAAATTGTTTAAAAAGTCGCGCATGTCCCAAAAATGCCTGAAAATACTCATGCATGCATATGCATGTGTGTATGTATGTGTACATAAATGTTGTCATGTTTGTGCATGTGTCTGTTGCTGCTGCCATCGCAAGGGGGTGTAAAAATAAGCGCATGTAAAGTGATCTCCGCAGGCCCGCCTCCCACCCCTTAGCAAACGAACGCTTATCATGGTCCCTATCCGTGAGCGCCTGCGTGTGTGTGTGTATGCGTGTGTTTTTGTGTGCCTGATTGTATGCGAGTGTGAGTGTGACTGTGTGTGCGTGCGTGCGTGTCGGGGCTGCGCAGTCGGCTTCCTGCGCGAGGACTTTGACTTGTTCACTTTATTCGTTTTGACTTTGCTCATTCGCTCGTGAGGCCTGCTCAAGTGAGGACGTGTCAGCGGCAAACATAACTTAAAATCTATCTCGGTTAAAGCAACTAAATAAATACCATTGTGCATACAGTAAGCAGATCGATTGTTTTGGTTCTTTATAAATATTACAACAAAATCAACACAATTTATAAATTAAAAAAAAAAAAAAAATAACTATGCAAGTACGTGGTGAGCGCACAAACAAAAACTATTTATTAATGCCGCTGCGCTAGATCAGCAAAGCAAAAATTTTTTACTGCTGCAAAAGCTGCCATTGGAACTTTAAAAGCTCTCTGCCGACGTTCGCTTGAGTGTTAATGTGTGTAAAAGAGAGCGGCAATATACTTATGTAGAAATATGCGGCAAGTGTCTAATGCTTGCTCTCGCGCTCTCTGAGAGTAGATTTCGTTTGAGTGACGTACGGCTCATTCAATTAATTTCGACAAGTGCACTACGAAACAATAACAATTACTACAAAAATTGCACTAACAAAAAAACGAAATAAAAAAGTAAAAGAGTAAGAGCAAAAGCATAAACAAAATCGAAAAACGAAAGGCATGTGTGTAATAATTAGACAGCAAGTGAAATTGTAAAATTAATGATTTCAAATTAAGTGTACAAAGCAGAGTCGTGCGATAAGATAAGAGCGAGCGTTGGCAAACATAAGCAACAAGTGCAAGAGGGAAGGAAGGCAGCTAGACGATGTATGTGTGTGTGAGCATGCTAAGGAGTTTCAACGATAGCACAGAAAAAAATGAAGAAAAAAAAGGCAAAGTGAATCAAGTGATAAGTGCTATGAACAATATTTGTCAATGTGTGAGTGTGTGTGCGTGTGTCTCCATATATACTTGGATATGCTGGATCTGGAGCGTTCTACCAAGATTTTCTTATGCCCGTTTCGAGCTACTCGAAAATTTAATGACTTTTGCTGCTGTGTAAACTTTTGCTCATTCTCCTTTACACAATTTACGTGCCTGTTGCTAAAGCTGTGTACGTGTACGTGTGTTTATTTGACTGTGCTTGTGTGTGTGTTTCTCTGCTGTGTTCGTTTTAATTTGCTTCTCTAAGCCTCCACACCCTTTGGCAAGTTTTCAAGTCTACACACAATCACACTGACACACAAACACACAAATATGTACATGCATGCGCCGTCTATACAGTTGCTGTCCCAAACGAGCAAAATAGCCTAAATAAAAATAAATACCAAAAGTCACTTACTGACCATTTATAAAGGGAAATCTAGGGGAATTTTCATGCAAATATCCTTAAAGAAAGTATATTTTTTTGGCTGAATGTAAATGAAAAACGGCATGTAAATGTAATTTTAAGCAAATGTTTTTTTACAGGATGAAAATGCGCAACAGTATGTTATAGTAGAATTTGAATTGTGGGGAATGTGATTCTGCTATATAATATTTCCCCTGTTTATGCATGTGAGTTTCCCTGTGCCTTTTGCATGCACGTCTGTTCTACTGGGATGAGTTGACAGGCAAAGCGAGTCGCAGACATAAAACACACACACGCACACATACACAGAGAGGTTCTCGCTCCGCGATGTGGTCGGTGCGTGAGTGTGTATGTGTACAACTGTGTGGGTGTGTTATTGTTGCTGTTGTCGTCGCTCTTGTTCTTATTGTTATTGTTGTAATTTGCCCATTTGAAACATTTGAAATTTCCATTTAGATTTCCTCATTTAGTTTTTTTTTTCCTGCCTGCCGGCCTGCTTGCTTGCCTGCCTTACAGACGCACTGCCTGCATAATATTCGGACCTTTGCCGTCTATTTGACCTGGCGGGTCGTCTGTTAAATTAAATTTGGTTTGCATTTAATTTATGAGCGACGAGTGACGAAGCGTCGAGCTCCGAGCTATAGCTCATTGTGGCTCAACCCCTGCCCAAATGCTGCCCTTCCCCACTCACTCAAACTCGAATTTCCATTTTCCAATCCTTTTGTCATGTAATATTCAGACTTGGAGACTTGGGAAGTAAAGTGAAAGCTGGCTTGATGGAACAAATTTGTGGGAATGCTAATAATTCGACTGATAAATAATTAATTACTCCACATGTTCATTGTGCTGCTTATTTAGTGAAGCAACAATGCTAATAACTTGTTTCTCTAATTTTATTTCCTTTACAGCTTTCTTTGATAACCACGTCAAAATGTTAAGGAACTATTTAAACTAAAAAGGACGTCAAGGATATTTGTTAATATAAACATTGCATGCAACACATAAGCGTACGGCATTGGCCGAACCACGAGCACATTTCCAACGCCCAATTGACGTAACTGTAAAATTAAAATCCACACAAAACGGCTTCCAAATGAAGATGGCATCTCAACGATTTTGTTTGCGCTGGAATAATCATCAGAGCAATCTGTTATCCGTCTTCGATCAGCTGCTGCACGCTGAGACCTTCACAGATGTGACGCTGGCCGTCGAGGGTCAGTACCTGAAGGCACACAAGGTAAGTGTACAAATGCGATAAATAAATATACTTAAATCGATACTAAAACTTAATATGCTTTGTTCTCTTTCCCTCTTTCTCTGTCTCGTTTATCTAATTGGACAGATGGTGCTATCCGCCTGCAGTCCATATTTCAATGCACTGTTTGTGAATCATCCGGAAAAGCATCCGATTGTCATATTGAAAGATGTGCCCTATTCGGATATGAAATCCCTGCTGGACTTTATGTATCGAGGCGAGGTGTCTGTCGATCAGGAACGCCTAACCGCCTTTTTGCGCGTTGCCGAAAGTCTGCGCATCAAGGGCCTCACTGAGGTCAACGATGACAAGCCCACCTCAGCGGAAACCGCCCCGGCGCCGCCTCAATTGCAGCGCATACAGCCGTACGTGGTGCCGCAGCAGCGCAAGCAACAGTCCAATGTCTTGGCCGCCAATGCTGCAGCGGCCGCCCTGCAGGCAGCCACGCAACAGCAGCAGCAACAGCAACAGCAGCAACAACAACAACAGCAGCTACAGCAAACATCGCTGCTGAGCACAGCGCTGATGCCCAAACGCAAACGGGGCAGACCTCGCAAACTCTCGGGCAGCTCGAATGGCACGGGCAACGACTACGACGAATACGAGCGCGAGGGCGTTATGAATGTAAGTGGACAAAGAGGAGATATTGAAGCCTAAATATTCTGTAACAACTATAATTTTAGACTCCTAGTTTGTAAAATTAGATTGGGCAGATATAATTAACATTTGTTTAATCTTTGTAAATTCTATTCATAGGACTCCGATATGGGCAATGGCAAATTGTGTAATGACTCCTACTCCGGCAACGATGATGGCTCCGATGACAACCAACAAGAATCTGCCCACCACGATGAACTGAATGTAAGTTTTACCTTTCTCTCTCGCTCTCGTTCTCTTCTCCTTGGTCGCGTTGAAGATTTTGTTTTTAATTTCGCGACTTGAAACAATTTGCAGGAAAGCCGCGACTCGTTGCCCACAAAGAGATCAAAGAGCGGGAAAGATCAGCGCATGGCACAGCAAGATGACAACAGCACTTCCGGTGAGTGGAGAATATTTTCAATTCATCATTTGCATTTCATTTTTGTGAAACGAACAACAATTCATTTCAAATTAGTCTAAGCTAAACATTTACTTTGCTAGCTAGCACTAAGAAACAACTACACCATCAATCAGTCAATCAAACAAAAATTGAAAAAAAAAAAAAAAAAAAAATTGTAGTCTTTAAGCAAAGTTTATCAAGTTTGAACAGAGTTAATAATAATCACAACAGAAAAAAACAGCACAAAAATTTAATATAAAATGAACGTTATTCGTTTTCGAAAAACTCATTTGCATAAATTTCGAATTGTGTTATCGGAAAAGCTAAAAGGGATTTACGCATTTCAAATAGAAAAGGATAAACAACAAAAACGAAAAACGAAGAAAAGAAATTCGCGTCGGTTTTACTTTTGTGTACCAAAAAAAGTGAGAAAATTGTTTTTAACATAAAAAAAAAATTGAAAATATTTAACTGTAGTGTGTTTACGCATTCGTTTTGACGCGCATTTGCTGAGTTTCGCATTTCGCCAGGTGAGTGTATTCAATGCAACAACAACAACAACGATGCCAAAGAAATGCAAATGCACAAATGCTGAAAACAAAAAGATGAAGAAGAAGAAAAGATTTAGTCAAGTTGAAAAATCGGGTTGAAGCTCACAGGGATTTAAGGCCGACGCTTGAAATAAATATTAAAAAAAAAAGAAAATCAGAAAAAAATTTACGAATTGAAAAACTCATGAAAATCCGCGTTAAAACCAAAAGCGAAATATCACAAAAAGAAAAGAAAAACGTTTTTTTTTTACATCCAAAACTAAAGAAGAAAGAAGAACGCAAAATGCTGCAAAATTTTATGGAAAATGGAAAAAATTTGATGAAAAATCTTTTTCGTTTTTTTCTCGTCGAGCGTAACGCGTTGCTAGTGCTTTGAAATATGGCTTGAAAATCCCTATAGCTTTTCCGAACCGATTTGAAACTTGTTCCATTTGTGTTTTTGCCTTTCTTTTGCATACTTTACACAAACAAACACACACACACACATGCACGCCTTATAGCATTTAATAACTAAAACACATTTCTAATTGACTTTTAGATGGAAACGATAGCGATGGCGATGGCATGGATACCTCCTATATGGAGCCACAACTGATGCTGGATGAATACGATGAGCCCGTGGAATTCAAATACAATCCTTTGACGGACAGCTCGCCAACGCAGGATCAGAACAGCTCCACGGACAATCAGCATCTCAATGAGCAGGCAAGACAGCAGGCATTCCTCATTGCAGCACAGCGCAAACATCAGGCGGAATCGGCATTGGCGGCCACAGCAGCGGCTGTCGGTGGCGGCGGACTGAAGCTGAACATTGTGGGCATTGCCAGCGGTGGCAAGTCCATGGTTAGCATTCCGAAGCTGACGCCCATTGGCAAGGTGAATGCTGCATCTACGCCGCTGGTATCGCCCGCCTCGTCGTCCTCGTCCAAGCCGCGTGCGCAGAAGCGACCCAAGCTCAAGCAGCAACAGAATGGCGATGTCGTTAAGACAGCCTATGCAGCCGGACAGGAATATCTGGATCTGTACAATAGCAACGATGGCTTTAAGCCCAAATCGGAGCTACTCGGTGGCAGTACGCCGAATCTGAGCAGCGGCGGCGGCGGTGTGGGCGTTACGCCCGCCGTGAAAACCAAACTCAATCTCAGCAGTAATGTGGGCGAGGGCGAGGCGGAGGGTTCGGTGCGCGATTACTGTACCAAAGAGGGCGAGCATACGTATCGCTGTAAAGTCTGCTCTCGGGTATATACGCACATTAGCAACTTTTGCCGGCATTACGTGACATCGCACAAGCGCAACGTCAAGGTCTATCCGTGTCCGTTCTGTTTCAAGGAGTTCACGCGCAAGGACAATATGACGGCGCATGTGAAGATCATACACAAGATTGAGAATCCGTCAACGGCGCTGGCCAATGTGGCGGCGGCCAGTTTGGCCAATCAATCGCTGGGCGTGGCAGCTGGCAATACGGCCGCGCCGCCCGATTTGAGTGCACAGAATTCGAATCAATCGCTGACAGCGACTAATAATGCGTTATCCACCTCATCATCGTCATCGACGTCGTCGTCGAGCGGCTCATTGGGGCCGCTGGCAACCGCAGCAGCGGCAGCGGCTGCTGCAGCGGCGCAGTAATCTCCCACACATAACAAATATATATATAGAGACAGCCGCAAATTCCAAAATCAAAACAAACAAAAAGAAAAAAAAAACGTGAAAAATATATAAAAGTCGAGGGCAAGCGCCAGGCGCTAAATGTGCCTTATGTGCTTTATCATAGCGGAATCAGAGAAGGAAAATATCGTATATACTATATAAATGGTATTTATATATATATATATAAATGTGTATAGACAGAGAGGCCTTTCAACATTGCAGATTTGTTAATTTTTGTTTTTTAGTTATTTAAACTTGACAGCATGAAGTTTTCTCTGTTGAAATGTTTTTTTTTTTTTTTTTTACTCTCTCTATATATAAGATATATATGTATGTATAAAAATATATATGTATATATCTATATACATATAAACTTTTCTTTTATAATTTTTTTATACGATCTTTTGTTGTGCAATTATTTTCAAATTAGTTTAAACATTATCTAAAAAAATAGCACTTAATCAAAAAAAAAAAGTATAAATATATATTTTATTTGTAATATTTTTAATTAAACTAATGTAAACAGCAAAAAAATATATATTATTTTTTAATGAATGCAGCACCGCAGCGGCCTTATCAAGCATATAAAAACTAAAAAAAATATATATATAATATTTAACTAAATTTTAGTTAATGACAAAAGCTAAACTAAATATATGTATATATATACATGTATGTATGTATATATATGTAAACATATTTAATTATATATAACTTTGGTATGCGTAGCTATAGCTCTATTAATTAATTTATATATACAATATGCATATATATATATATATATATCTATATACTAAACATAATGTTCTACGTTTAAATGTTTATATAAATATGTGTGAATCGTGCGAGCTGCGAGGCTCTGCACAGATCTACCTTGTTGCCTTCAAATGAAGCTAGTTGAAAGAAAAAAGAAAACTATATAGATTGGTAACGCTATATAGCAGCCCAATCCAAATCGGAAAGAAATCTGTAAGAGTCAGCCGCACAGACTCGAGGCGAAAGATTGCAAATGTTTCGCTTGGGTTTGTTGTGAGCTGCATTAAATGTTTATAAACAGAAACAAAAAATATATATATTTTATATAACATAATAATTATTGATTAAATATGATTATGTTTATGTTTATGTTTATAACAAAAAAACAAAAGAAAAAAAAAACAAACAAACAAAAACAATATCTAACTAACGTAGTCTAAAGACCAACTATGCAAATAATTTATCTATCTATTATTACTTAAAAAAAAAAAACAATTAAAATTTATGTTGTATATCTCGGAGGCTTAAATTATCGCCAAAGAAATGAAGCAAATGCAGAAAATAAAAATAAAAAATAAATACAAATTGAATGCAAAAACAAATACATAATCAAGTTAATTCAACAAAATAGCAGCAAAATATGAACACGATCTCCATAAAAAAAAAAAACAAAACAAAACAAAAAATACATAAAACTTGAAAAAGTTGAAAAAGCAAAGAAAATTGAATTTGATTTGAATTTGTTGCATTGCAAAATATTAATAAAAATTAAATGAAAAACAGCTCCAATTTTTGTTAGCATCAAAAATAAAAAAATCAATAAAAATGTAATTAGTTAATAATTTAAAAGAAAAGCATTATAATTTATTAAATAATAATTTGTTTTTAATTCTTTATTTAGTGTTAGCTAGTGCAATTTAGTTAAGTTAACGTAAACCTCTTTCCACCAATTCAATAACTATGGCTAACCCAACAATACACACATACATATATATCTATATATATATATATATATATCTTTTTGGCATTATAACAGTTATATATATTCACATATATATATTGTATGTATTTATATTTTAACTTTTAATTTTAGTTAACGTTTTGTATGCAAATATATGTGTTTGTTTTTTTGGCCCACATCAAAAGAAAATAATGAGGGACTTTCCCCAACAAATCTAAACAAATCAATTTCCAACTCGAAACACTCTTATTTTTTACTATCATTACTATAAATAATTATTATCAGACCTTCCATAATATTATTATTATATATTATAATTAAACAGTCATGCTTTTGATGCCCAAAGAAAACAAAAGAAAAATAAAAAATATACATAAATAATTAAATTAAACACAATTTGTTTAACGGCTAAAGAATATCTGAACTATATATGTATATATATAGTGCTAAAAATGCATAAATAAATCAATTAATTGAACAACAATTAAGTTTGTAAAATTAATCAATATTAGTAAATCACGCAATATTATTCATAAAAACAAACAAAAAACATTTAAAAAAAAAATACATTTTGTTATATTTTATTACGATAAATGATTATTATTATTATATATCGATTAATTGACAAATGTGAAGAGAAATAAAATACACACACAACAACAACAACTAAACAGTTCTGTAAAGGAAACAAATTGTTTGCGTTTTATTTTTAGTTTTTAAAATTCATATTTTATTTTATTTTTATGAGGTTGTTCTTTATATAGCAACTGATTAAACTTCAGATTCAAAACGATGATTTTTATTTTGATAAAAAAATGAATGTATAAGAATGTATGAATTGAAATTAATTAATTAACTTTTTATATTTTTTTACTTTACTTTTTTATTTTTTTTTAAATGTAGAAAATAAAAGTATGTAACAAGGGTTGTAATAAGAGAATTTTGATAAATCTGATCAGTATCAATAGTCATGATAAAAACATAGTTATAGCATAGTTATAGATATTTTGGAATACCCTAACCTAAAATGATTTCCATCACATATTAGTAAATATATAATTTATATAAATTTCATCTCTCATTTGAATTTATAGCCACGCCCGAGCTCTCGCAGCGTTTGTTTGGTTTGGCATCCACGCAAATCTCCACGACGACAGAGACGTCGCCATCATCTGCACGGGACTCCTGCGACATGGGCGCCTCGGCACCCTTGCACCTGCCTACCATCTTGGGCTTGAAGATACGTCCGATTAATACCAGCAATCAGTCGCAGTCGCAGTCGCAGTCACAGTCTCAGTCACAATCCCAGTCACAGTCACAGTTACAGTCAAAAGCTCTGCACAACAACAGCAACAACAATAATAGCAATATCAATAGCAATTCACTGCTCAAGCAGCAGCTGCGTGGTGGCCCCAAGGATCCGGATACGTTAGTGTCGCTGGCGCTGCCAGCAACGTCCATCGAGGAGCCCAACGAGCAGGAGAACAGCTGCAGCGCGTTGCAGTCGCTGGCCAATGCTGCAGAGCGGCAAGCGCAGCAGGCGTCCAGCAGCAGCGGCAACAACAACAACAACAACAACAGCAACAGCAGCAACAACAATAACAATTCCAGTCTGCATCAGCAGCTGCTGCTGCACATGGCTGCCACGGGCAATCCGCTGCTCAAGTCGGACTTTTATCAGGCGCAGCAATCACAGGCGCAACAACAGCCTCCACAACCGCCCGCAACGCCACCTCCGGCCGAGTCCAGTTATGCGGATGAAGACCTCGAATTGCTTTGTGTGGCGGATAAGAGCGACGAAACGGATCATGAGCTGTTGACGCTAGCCGACGAGAATGCAGGCCTGCCCGGCTATACGCCCGGACATGAATCCTTTGAGGAGCCGCTGCCCACCATTGAGCGCAGTCCGCCTCGTTCGCGCGCATCCGGCACGGCCAAGCGGCCCATCCAGCGACGACGTGTGCGACGCAAGGCGCAATCGACCATCGACGATCAGGCCGAGCATCTGACGGAAATGTCGGTGCGGGGCTTGGATCTGTTTCGGTATGCGAGCGTGGTCGAGGGCGTCTATCGGTGCACCGAGTGCGCCAAGGAGAACATGCAGAAGACCTTCAAGAACAAATACAGTTTTCAGCGTCACGCGTTTCTCTATCACGAAGGCAAGCACCGCAAGGTGTTCCCCTGCCCGGTGTGCTGCAAGGAGTTCTCCCGGCCGGACAAAATGAAGAATCATCTCAAGATGACGCACGAGAATTTCACGCCGCCCAAGGACATCAGCGGCTTCAGTCCGCTCAAGTATCTGATCTCTGCGGCAGCAGCGGGCGACATGCACTCCACAATCTACCAGCAACAGCAGCAGCAACAGCTGGAGCAGCAGCAACAACTCGAACAGCAACAACTCGAGCAGCAGCAACAGCTCGAGCAGCAGCAGCAACAGTTGGAGCATCAGCAACAACAACAATTGGAGCAGGAGCAACTGCTGTTGCTGCCTGATGTCAAGCAGGAGCAGCTGGAAACGGATCAACAGCTAACCGCCTATTCAGCACCTGCCACGCCCACAACAGCAGCGGCCGCAATGCTTAGTTTGCAGCATGACGTCATCATCAAAAACGAAATACAAATCTCGCCATCGCCATCGCCCCCACCGCCAGCCATGTACGGAGTGGGGGGCGAGGGCAAAAGCCTGACGCCAGTGCCCACAGGTGTCAACTGAGGGGGTAGAAAGGGAGAGAGAGAGAGCGGGAGAGTGCCAGTGAGAGAGCGAGAGAGAGAAAGGCGACGAGCCAGTAGAGAGGAAGAGTGATAGACAGAGTATGAGAAAGAGGACAGACGTGAGAGTAACAGAAAGGGAAGATCAAGGAGATACAGATATAGAAGAGAGAGTAGCAGATAAAGAGACAGAAGTAAGAGAGTAAACGAGATGAGATAAAGTGAGAATTAGAGAAAATAGAGCGTGCCTTAAACAAAACACACAACTGTAAAATACTAAAATACTTAAAGCTAAGCAATTGTCGGAAGCAGGGGCGTAGACTGAAAGGGGAATCAAATGAATACTTAAAACTCAATTAATTTAACAATTTCAAATACGATATGCAATATGCTATTTATGCATTTACCTAGGCGAGCTTTCCTAGAGCAATATTCAGCATACGCCCCTGGTCAGAACTCAAAACGAACTCAAACGCATAAAATTTATTATTAAATATATATATTTATAAATATAGATATAGTTAATACCAATCCTTAAGGACCTTTAGTGCACACCAGATAGCTAAATTTTCTTTAGTTAAGCAATACATATTTACAAAAATAGCAATAAGCTCAACAAGGTTCCGTCCATAAAAAGGCCTTACGTTTTAGATATTAAAGATATTTTGTACTTAATAATTATTTAGTCTTAAGTTCAAATGCAACTGATTAATTAGTAGAAAATTTCTTATTATCCACTGCCCACTAAACAATTTTAACTTTGATTTAGCTCTGATTTAAATTATTACAATCGGCATTTCTGTGTCTTAAGGCAAGTGGCAAGGATCGACTGAATTTACTTCGAACTCTGTTTAAACTTATTCATTGTGAAGGAGCTACGAGTTGATTGCCTTAAGATGAACGAGTGAATTTAGTTGTTATAGTGAAGCAATCGTAAATATACTCACTATATAAGATCAACGCGTGAATTCATTCCAGTGAACTTACCACGCCTAAAGCAGGCAGCTGAGTGTGCTTAAGGAGTGTACGGGTGGGCACCGTCCAACTAAATTTACTCGCTTCTTTCTACTCGTTACGTTATTTTTTTTTTTGTTTTCTCATTTTTGTTTATTTCTTGTGTGATTTTGTTGAACTGTATTTTGTTTAGTCTTTTAATTTTATATTGTTGTATATAGTATTACGTTCAAATACTCAAAGACCTTAGAATAATGGGTGTGTGTGGTCTATTGGTAATACAAGAAACCGAAAACCCCACTGAATTGGCTAATTGTGCAATTATCAAAAGAAAAAAAAAATGCAACAAAAAAGAGATCATAATGAAAATTATAACTATGTGGCGCCTGGCCTGTCCGGCCGACCCATGTAAATGTTGTAAACTTAATTAACGACTACTTAATTATGCTCTAGCAGACTTCTTAGCTCCTAAGTGTAGTATGTAGTATGTATAATGTTTTTTTCTAGTTGCTATATAGTGTATGTATGTATAACTCGTTTCTAAGGCATTGTCGAAATGCGCAACGGACTTCCAGTGAAAAATAACTGATATTCTTACTTAAGCTCAACAATGGATACTAAATCACCAACACGCTGTTACTCAGTTGATTGCTTTAGTGTCTTACACTTCACACAAATTGTACGCACAAAACAGAAAAACAAAGTACTCAGCATTTCATATTATGTATTTCTTTCGATATATATACATATACATATATAAATATACATTTACTTAAAGCAATCATTACGACTTAAACTGTCAATGCGCTCAATAAATAGATTTTATACAATTTATAAATTACAATTTGTTTTATTTAAATTATTAATATTTTTGCATATTCCCACATTCTCTTAATTTATAATATTCCTTTACTACAAAAACAAATATAAATAGCAAATATCAAGGAAATGCTGGCATTTATTTTAACAGACACCTAGGACTAAAGGATAAAGGAAGAAAATGAACCAGTTCCTTGATGGCGCCACCTATTGCAAGGTAGGAACAAATGTAGAAATGCGTAGCATACTTATGTGGGACACATATGCTACGTAAGTACTGTAGTACGTACTACGTAATGTGGTAGCAACTGACAAAAATTAAAAAAAAAATGCAATTTATTAATATTTGTCACTTACTTTTATTTATTAAAATCTTAGTCTAACAATTATTGATTATTGGCACGACGATACCAGAAACGTGCACGGAAATCATCGGAACAGGTGAGAAAAGCTGGCGCATTGGGTGAATGGGTTATGTAGCGCACAGGTCCGTTGTGACCCAGAGAGTTGAGCGTGAGGCGACAGCCATTGCGTGAGTTCCACGAGCATAAGGACGTGGTCGCCTCATCAGGGAACAGAACATAGTCCTCAGTGTGATTGAATACAGCTTCCGCTTGATGCTCCTGCTTGCCGGTGGTGCCAGCGCCAGTATATGTTTGTATGGGTCGACTTGTGCAAAGCTCCCACAGATATACAATCGAATCCATGCCAGATGAAAGCAAATACTAAAGGAAATATGGTTCTATACTATGATACCAAATTATCTATGGTTGTATTATGTACTTACCTTTCCGTTTCGCGTAAACTGCAAGGAGCAAATGGCTGCTCCACTGTGAGCCTCAGCAATGGTATTGATGCAACGGCCGCTGATGCCATCCCAGATTTTTATGTCGCCATCGAAGCTGCCTGTTGCATAGAGCTTTGCTGTGGGCGAATATTTGACGCAGGTGACGCCCGCTTTGTGCTGTTGCGATGGAATGGCGCTAACAAAGCACTGTGTTGTATGCACATCATAAACACGCAGCACATGATGCTCTGTGCCAATTGCTATGTAGTCGCCAGTTGGATGAAAGGATACGCATAGTACTGGCTCGCAATCGGTAAGCACTTTGTGCGCCTTCTTCACCGATGGTTTGGCAATGTCGAAGAGTTTGACGGTGCCATCGCGCGATGCTGATGCCAGAATGTGCTCTTTGGGATGAAACTCTAGATACGACACCTCATCTGTGTGATCGTAAAGCGTGCGTATAACTGGATGGCCCTGTTGCTCGCGTCCCGGCTCGATGTCCTCTGGAGCTGATTTTGCCAACATGCGCTCCACATCCAATATCTTAATACTGGCATCCACACTGCCCGTGGCGACCAAGGATCCATCAAAACTGAAGGCACCGGCACGACAAGCCTGCTTGTGCGACGTCACATAAGCGGTCTCATAGGAATGCGGCTCGGGAGCTAGTGCCGACGCTTCTGGCTCGAATTCTAGATCAATACCTGGCAGCACATCATCCGTGTTGGTCTTATCCTTATCAGACATTGACTGCATGCCGGAGATCATGACATGCAGCAGGCGCTCGCTTGGAGCACACTGATCGGCCTTGACCAGCATGGACAGCTCCATAGCAAATTTCTCCAAGCCATCGTACATTAACTGGCTGCGAATGAATAGCATTAAAACGGACTGAGGCTTATGAGCAATCAGTGTTAGCTTACCTTATCATTAACCGGTATAATATTTCCCGGTTTTTTACCAAATTATGTGGATCCAAAATTTCGTCGCGCATCTTTCTTTATAAATAAAAAAATTAGTGATGAACGAGCATAAAAACATCGCCTTACCGACATTTGCCGGTGTTTGTTCGTCGTGCCTTTCGATATCTATCGAACTTAAATATCGTGCCACAAACCTAATATCGATAGCTAACTATTTCGATAGCCCACAGCTGCAACACGTGCAATTGTTTTGTTTTCATAGCGTTCATTTTTAACAATTTAACAGACAAAAATGAAAATTCGCAAGAATCATGTGCGTAAGCGTTACCGCTACAATGTTAATCGGAAGACGATGAATAAAACAAGGAAAAACACTGGAAAAATCAAGGAGTAAGTATGCTGCCACTCGACTGTTGACATTCAAAATTTTACATGCGCGCTTTACAGCCCAGAGATGAAGAAAATGTGGCTTGAAGGAAAACGCGTGGGTACCAATTTCAGTGAAATGGGCTTGGCCCGGGATCCAAACAAGGCGGTTGGCGTACCAAATTATAAACGCGAAAGGCTGGAGGCTGTTAAAATTGTAAATGGATTCACTGAGGAGGAGCTAGACGACGAGGAAATGGCCATTCTGGGTTCTAAGAAAGACAAAACAGAGACCCCCAAACCAAAGCGGGGACACGTCGTTCAAGAGCTCGAGCAAATGGCAATTGATCGAAGAGCTGATCCAGAGTTCCGGTATGTATATGGTGTAAAATATGATACTTGTTGTATTATTTACCTTTCATACCACATAATTATAGATTACCAAAGGGAGTGGTGAAGGAGCTGTCATATTTCCTTAATAAGTACAAATTCAACTATAAGGCCATGGTGACAGATCGTCGTAATCATGGTCAGTGGACGTGGAGGCAATTCCGCTTGAAAATACGCAGATTTATGTCAATACCAGAACAATTCAATGAATACCTGGAGCAGAACAAACTTCCCATAGATGTTAAACCAGATTGGCCAGAATACGAGTCGGACAGTGAATGGAAATAACTGTCAATGTATAGAATATAGAATATAAATATAATATACATATGTATACACTTGTAAAAAAATTTTCAGACAGAGACCCGACTTTCTGTTTAGACTATATTAAAGTAAATTACACATTTTAATTCAAACTGTGAATATTTCATTTACACGAAATTTTCCATAAATATCCTTGTTTATACAAAATTCAAGTTGCATTCAAGTTTTCTGGCGTCTGCTCGACTAAAATTGAATATTTTAGTCAAGCAATTATTAGAGCCCACTAATTAAATTGAGTATGAGAATAATTGGGGCATAAGCTGTTATCAAGTGTATTTACCATCGTACTGCATACCAAAAATCGAACAGCTGACAGCAACGTTTAGTTAACGGTAAGCTCTCACATAATCTCTTCTTCTTGCTGCGCTAATCACACATGTATTGTGCTGTCAATTAGCATTGACTGTTAAAATTGCCCGCAATTTTCAATTTGCCATCCCATACCTATCCCTTGCCCCAGTGGGTTGGCTACTCTGTCTGTCATTCGCCGTTGCATCATCGTGCATCGGCTGTCGGGTTTCGGTCTCTTCGTCAACCGACTGCCTGCTTCTGCTGATTTCGGTCTTTCCGTTTTCTGGTTTCGAGGTAAGTGCACGTATAGAGGAGGTCCGTGCAGCTTTCTTAAAATCCTTAAATATCATTTTCAATAATGAGCATCCATTAATTATTTGTGTGTTAAATGACTGAAAAGTGCTAGTGCTTATGCAAATGTTTATTATTGCTGCGTATTTCGAGCTGTATCAAGACTTAAAGGAAGCTTAAATTTTGTGCGTTTACCGGCCGGTGATTCGACTGAGGTTTTGCATAATACGTGTGTGCATGTTTGCTTATGTTTGTATGTAACGGTATCTGTGTGCATGCGTACAAATATTATTATTAACAAGAATAACAAACTTTGATATTATGAACTTGCACATAAAATTCCAGTGAATAGAATTTTTCTACGTAACGGACAGTTTTGCACCATGCATACATATGCATGTGTACTTAACATGTACATACATATGTATGTATGTACATATGTATGTGTTTGTATGCCCGGCGCTCTGGTAATTTCCAAAATGGCGGCCGTTGCCGCAGAAGTCTGCAGTTGCTCATGTGTTTGCGTGTGTGTGTGTGTGTATTCTTGCTACACTGTTAAGTTGCCAAATTTAAAGTGCTTCATACATACATACATATGTATGTATATTACATACATACATATGTGTATTTCTTGAGATTTGTGTGCAATTCCGTTAAAGTATTGCTGAGTGAGAGAGAACGACTGCAAAGTATTTTTACATTTCCCTTTAAGGTTCTTTTTTTTTTTAAATTTGCACTTGTGTGTCAACGAATATACATTCATACATACACATGCACACAAGTACATTTGTCGTTAAAAATAACTAAAGAAAAAGCGCAAGTAAAATTTGTTTCTAGGCTAGAAAATAAATCACGCTAAAGAGCCAAAGCACACACACATAAAGCGGCGGATACACATGCATGCACATCATCCGCGTGTATGCATGTATGTATGTATTTGTCTTGTTGTTTTTGCTAGTTTATCCAAGACGACGCAGACCAACGGAAGCGATGAGCAAGTGCAACCCGAAGCAGCGGTATTTATGGCCCTGTATGCGTGTGCATATGTATGTACAATGTGTGTTTGTGTGCAGTTTTTCACCCTTTCGACTCGTGAGCGGAGAAAAGAGCACACGAATACCGCAAATGCCGGCGATGAGCAAAAGCTACAAATACCGTTGCAGTCGCTCTTTACCACCAACATTGATTTTGCACCATCTCCTCCCAATCGTGCTTCACGCTGCCTCTTGAAATAAATTGAGTTTTAATTGTTGTTAAATTATTCTTGTGCTACAACAAAGGTATTGTCAGCAGGAGCTATTCATGGGCTGCCACCTGTATTTTGTTTTGAGGCAGCCCGTCCTCAAATGCCATAGACTGGATATTATTGAAGCGCCCCAGGTGGGCTGGTGGGCCTGGTGTGTTATATTAGTGGGGCCTTTGGGGAGTGCATTCGGCAACGTCGCCGTTCGGCTCAGTCTCGCTTTTCAGCTCCAGAAGCTCTCGTCGTTTGTCTGGGTTCATTATTGATTTTTCGTTTCAACCATTGAGACTCTTTGCTTGCATACTTATTGTGTCCAGATTTTCCGCGATTGACTAACGTACAGACGTGTGTCGGCCCCAATTGGTAATATCTACATATATTTGGAACTCATAAATAAATAACATCACAAATATTAAAACATGTTCATTTAGTGTGCTTAGCATATAAGACTACGAATTTAATATTATTGTGAAATAGTTAATACAGCTCACCTGTCCGGTCTTTTTTTTTATTTGCAGTGCATCGCCAGTTGAAGCGCCTGTGAGCAGCAAGTTACAGTTAAACCAATTTTCTGGTGAGTTTTACCTAGATTATTGTTTATTTTTGTATATTCGTCCATGTACATATATATATATATCCATATATATACATCTGCATATATATTTACTGGGCCGACTTAAACGCCGGTAATTGATTGATTGTTCAGATTTTTTTTTTTTTTTTTTTCATATTGAAACTCGTGGGCTAAACGTTTTATACGAAAAATGTATTTTGTATTATTAATTAGATTAATAATTAAAATTATTTAACTTTAAAAGCTCTTGCAAAAAATGATAACATAATGTACGATTTTTGGATCATCTGTCAAAAATTGCGTTAAAAAAAAAAACTATGATTTTTTAAAAGTAACAGCTTTCAAAATTTGTTTAAAAATATTTGTAGTTTTTTCTTAAGTACATAAATTAAATGAAAATTCAAAATGCAAGTGTCCTCTTTATCGAACTTTCGCTGTGCACATGCAGGAACGTAGCTGCAGCATTTGTCTCTACACCGCGAACAGAGTCGCGCCCACTCTCACGCCCACACCTTAGCCATACATATAAATAAATACATACATATGTACATGCGTTTATACATATGCAAGTCCTGGCTATGCTCATTCGTGTCCTTATAGCACACGCCTTTGCCTTTTCTCTCTCCACTACTCTCTCTCTCTTTCTGTTTCTCTATGACACCCACGCTCCAAATTTGATATATATGTTCATGAATCTACATATTTATATATGTGTACGTCGTTTGCCATGCAGGTTGTATCAAAAACTACAAAAAACTAAAAAAGGAAGAAAATATAAGATTGTTAGAACTCAAAGACTACAGAGAGCAGCACCATGGGTAAGGAGAAGATCCATATTAACATCGTGGTGATTGGCCACGTAGATTCGGGCAAGTCGACCACCACTGGCCATTTGATTTACAAATGCGGCGGAATCGATAAGCGTACAATTGAGAAGTTCGAGAAGGAGGCCCAGGAGATGGGCAAGGGCTCGTTCAAGTATGCCTGGGTGCTCGACAAACTGAAGGCTGAGCGCGAGCGCGGCATCACCATTGATATTGCCTTGTGGAAATTTGAGACGGCCAAGTATTATGTGACCATCATTGATGCGCCCGGTCACAGGGATTTCATCAAGAACATGATTACCGGTACTTCGCAAGCCGATTGTGCCGTGCTGATTGTAGCTGCCGGCACTGGTGAATTTGAGGCTGGCATCTCGAAGAACGGCCAGACGCGTGAGCATGCGCTGTTGGCCTTCACGTTGGGCGTTAAGCAGCTGATTGTGGGCGTCAACAAGATGGATTCCACGGAGCCACCCTATAGCGAGGCACGCTATGAAGAAATTAAAAAGGAGGTTTCCTCGTACATCAAGAAGATTGGCTACAATCCGGCCTCGGTTGCGTTTGTGCCCATCTCAGGCTGGCATGGCGACAACATGCTTGAGGCATCCGAGAAGATGCCCTGGTTCAAGGGCTGGACCGTCGAGCGCAAGGAGGGCAAGACGGAGGGCAAGTGCTTGATTGACGCGCTGGACGCGATTATGCCGCCCCAGCGGCCCACTGACAAACCGCTGCGCCTGCCTCTGCAGGATGTCTACAAGATCGGTGGCATAGGCACAGTACCAGTGGGTCGTGTGGAGACTGGAGTTCTTAAGCCTGGTGAGAAAATGATTCAAGCTAATTTATTATTTCATAAACTTATGCATTTTCTGTTCGGTTTTAGGCATGGTGGTAAACTTTGCTCCTGTTAATTTGGTTACTGAGGTCAAGTCTGTGGAGATGCATCACGAGGCATTGACCGAGGCTATGCCGGGCGACAATGTCGGCTTCAACGTTAAGAACGTCTCGGTTAAGGAGTTGCGTCGTGGCTACGTGGCTGGCGATTCGAAGAACAATCCACCACGAGGCGCGGCCGATTTTACTGCTCAGGTGCGTGTTGATTTGATTGATTGGATTCAACATCATTTGTTATAATAATTGCTCATTTTCTGTTCAGGTAATTGTGCTCAATCACCCTGGGCAGATTGCCAATGGGTATACCCCTGTTTTGGATTGCCACACGGCACATATCGCATGCAAGTTTTCCGAGATCAAGGAGAAGTGCGATCGCCGTACGGGCAAGACCACCGAGACCGAACCGAAGGCCATCAAATCTGGGGATGCAGCCATCATATTGCTGGTACCCACTAAGCCATTGTGCGTTGAAAGCTTCCAAGAATTTCCGCCGCTGGGACGGTTCGCAGTGCGCGATATGCGTCAAACTGTAGCGGTCGGTGTCATCAAATCGGTGAACTTTAAAGAAACGACCTCGGGCAAAGTAACAAAAGCCGCTGAGAAGGCACAGAAGAAGAAATAACTAGGGTGTCAGCAGAATTGTAATTCAAATAACAACATAAACAATAACAACAACAAAAACAACAACACTCAAACACTCAAACAGCAAACGGCAAAAGCAACAAGACACTTAAAATTTATAGTATCTACTCATCATAGACGAGCAAATCCGATGCAAGGGCTTGACACAAAGTCCGTGGCGTATAAAACTTCATCAACTAAAACTATTAACCGCTGCATTCATATATTATATAAACTTGAACTATTGCAATTTATTATAGACACACACACAATTAGTAGTGAGGCAATGCCAATGGTTCGAATCGCCCTCGCTGTACGTAACGAGACCCAGACGAAAGGACACATTGGTCACCTAGAATTATTCTCCCACGCGTACTCAAAATCTGTCGCCATCATATTCATAATTATCATATACTATAGCTATCTCAACTTGTTTCGCCACCGCAAATCGTTTCGCAGGAAACAGTCCCACTTTCAAGATCATAATAATAATCGGAGTGTATTATTCGCCACTGGAGTTTGCTGCTAGCCCGGCACCCCCTCTATACACCACCACCCTCTATACTTGCTCCTCATTTATCACATACGCCATAATTTCAATCAATGGATTTTAAACACTTTTTATACTTTTGATAAGTCAGTCGGAGGCATTCGATTTAAAATCTATATATTATAAAAGTAATTTTCAGAATATAGTTTTAAACCACTCTGCATCTTACCAACCTTAAAACTAAAACTAAAAAAAAAAAAAACAAACATAAAAAAAAAAAGAAAAGTCAAGACTACATTCGCAATGAATTCAAAATTTTTCCCAGAAGAAAACAAAACAAAAAAGACAAATGCTTAAGAAGTATTACAAAAATAATATTCATAAATACATAATCATGTGCGGTTTTGTAAACATTCTAAATGTTCTATTGAGCCTCATTTGGCATTTGCATACTCTAATCAAATGTTTGTCATAAACGATTAACCACATAACAAGCATATGCGTACTAACATACATAATGCATTCATTGTCGTTACTATGAAACTTATAATTGTAACCCACAACAGAAAACAATTCATGAATACAGAAAATGTTGCTTAATAAACAAAAAGGATCTTTTAATGTATTAATTGAGAAAATAAAAATAAAGAATGCTTAACCGTAAAATACAACAAAAAATACATTGTTCTTATTTTATTTCCTATTTTGATCTGTAGCTTAAATGTCATAAATTGAAGAATATTTGTTAGTAGTCGTAGAGTATTACAAAGTCGGTTCGGTGTCTGAATTCACTTCACGAACTGAGCTTATTTCGTTGGCGATTTATTTTCGGAACTGGAACTCGTGAATTTAATGAATAGTGTGGCAACTCTGTTATCTGACTCACAGGCGGTATTTATAAACAACAAAGCATCAAAGCTCAGCCGGCTGTGCTGAAATTTTCGATAAATTAAATTAAATTAAAAAAGTCGAGGGCTAAAATTTATATTGACAACACTATATAATTTAGAGCTGTACGACTACTTAGAAATCAATATTATCACAGATATGGCCGATCCACGTTTAAGACAGCTAGTTATAAAAACGGGTGTTGTCAAGCGCCTGGCAAAGGAGAAGACTGTTTATGAGAAGGAAGTGAAAACAGAGTTTGCTCGTCTTGAAAAATTCAAAACCGACGGCGCTGATGAACATGTACTCCGTAAGCAGGAAGAGGTGATACAGGAATGTCAGATGATGTTACCAGACTCAAAGAGAAGGTGTCTCATAAAATTACACCACTAAGATTTAGTCGATACTAAACATACTCTAATTTTCATAGGCTACAAAAGGAATTTGAGCTGTTGCAAAAATTTCTGCAGGATGAGCAGGATCTCAAAGAAACAGAGGAATACACAAAGGCAGCCGAGATGTTAAGCGAGGCAGAATCTATTCTGAAAGCATAGAGCATCAGCTGCTCCGATGCCCCCAACCACATTCTTCCCTGTATTTTATTTGTATTAAGCTACCCACTCTCAATATATGTATATGCAACGTTAACCAACACTAATATCAAATATGCCGCAAGGCCTCAAACTAAGCGAAATAAAGGCAAACGTTAATAATGTCATTGAGAATTTACAATTATTGGAAGCTGCAAGCAATGCGTCTCTAAACGATTTCAATTTGGAGCAATCTCGCGAATTGGAAAGACAAACCACAAGTTTATTAGCGCAACTATCAGAAATACCATGCGAAAAACTTGCTCGGACTCAACTGCAGCGTAAACAAAGACGCCAAAGGACCAAAAAGAAGGCCAAATTGCAATTTAAGCTCAATAGATCTATTTCTAAGTCAGCTAAAGTATCCGCATCACTACCCACAATAAATGCCGCTGATGAGGAAAAATTGGGAGCTCCAAAGCAAGCCGAACACATAACGCTCAAAAAACATTATGATTCGTCCAACATTCTGTACACATTAGACTTGTTGGAGAGATTGTACAAGGCGCGTGGCGGCAAAGGCAACTTGAGTGAAAAAATGGCCAGAATGCGAACAGTTTGGCGGCGTGTGCAGCAGGAGAGCATTAATGCGATCAATCAAGAAATGCCCACCAACTGCGAGGCGCAATGGTCTAAAGCTATTTTTGGAATCTCTTCTGTACCTTTAAAACAGGGATCATTAAAAGGCCTTCGCAAAACACAAAATCAAAAATTTGTGGAACGGCGGTAAGTTCGCTTATTAGATTCAAAAAGTCACCTTAATATATTCATTTTGCAGTGCAATTTGGGATTCGTATATAAGTTCCGGTAAAGTCGGCAGTAGCATACCACACGGATGGGTATTGCCTAGAGAAACGCCATCAGCTGAATGGGCCAAATATATTTGCGAATAAAACATGAACACATATGAATATATATATATGTGGAATTTTTATTCTTTAGAAGAACTGCATTAAGCCTTAGTGAGTAGCAAACAGATCAATGGAATCTATTCGTAAATCCAGTCCTTGGCAGCTGGGGTCCAGGTGACAAGCTCTTTCTCGTTGAACCAGAGAGCGATCTCCTTCTCGGCTGATTCAACAGCGTCGGAGCCGTGAATGATGTTACGGCCGACTTGAATACAGAAATCACCACGGATGGTGCCAGGCAAGGAGTCAGCTGGGTTGGTAGCGCCCAACATTTGACGGCCGGTCTTGACCACATTTAAACCCTCCCACACCATGGGAACCACTGGACCGGAGCTCATGTAGTTGACCAAACCGGGGAAGAAGGGACGGGCAGACAGATCAGCATAGTGCTTCTCCAACAATTCCTTTTGAGCCTGCAATCAAATATGATGAACAAATTAATACCATACTAATAGACATCTTACATACTCATGACCTCTAAAATTATAATATGAATATAACCTCAACCGGTCATTTTCAATATCAGCAAGGGTAACCCGTTCGCGTGTTGAGGTTAAACACGAACAGTGAACACGCGTACTTATTGATTTCTTAATTCAATTAGGCTACCGGCTTTACTCACCCACATGAACTTCATTGCTACCAATTTGAAGCCCTTCTGCTCAAAACGCTCGATGATTTTTCCGACAAGTCCTCTCTGGACTCCATCGGGCTTCACCATGATGAAAGTGCGTTCCTTGTTGGCGGCCATTGCGTATGAGAATAGGGAATAAAATGCCAAGAGCGAACCAATCATCAGTGTTGAGTTTTTCATTGAAGAAGTGTGCCCATATTGGGAAAACGTGAATATACCAAACATCTAGTGTGCACAAGAGTATATAATATTATTTACATTTTCATTAAAAGTAATTAAAGCTATGACTGTTACATATTATTAAAATTGTACTACTAATTTAATATAATATAACAATATGTTAATATTTGATGACTTGATTCTGTATGGAACTTGTTCAATTGAGTATATCGGTAGCTATTAATCATTTTGAACGAGTTCACCCATCTCTATCGTAAACTCAAATTTCCAAAAAATAATTTTAGGCTTCAATTTAGAATGGTAAATATTTTTAATATTAAGTAATTATATTAAACTAAACGGTATTTTTCCTTTAGTTTTCATTGTTGCACAAAGAGGAGAATGCACATGACAACGCGCTCTGGGCATGCGCCTGGGGACGCGTCGCAGAGCCGGCAACTGAAGATGTGAACGCCGTACAAGAGGAAGAGAATCCATTTGATTTTGAGAAAAAGGAAAAGAAACCAACGGATTTCATAGTGACCGGGGGTCTGGACGATCTGGTCAAAGTATGGGACATACGTGAAGATAACACCTTAGAACTACGACACAAGTTAAAAGGTCATGCCCTTGGTGTGGTCTCTGTTGCCGTGAGCTCCGATGGTCAAAGTATAAAGCGCTAGTTCATTTAATTATTATTTAAGCTATAATTCAGAAAACATAATTTGACAGCAATCGCCAGCAGCTCACTGGACTCTAGCATGTGCCTGTGGGATGCCAAAACTGGCGATAAGAAACATATGCTAACATTTGGGCCCGTAGATTTGTGGACAGTAGGCTTTTCGCCATGCAACAAGTATGTCATATCTGGCTTAAACGATGGCAAGATTTCAATGTACAGCGTGGAGACCGGTAAAACGGAACAGGTGCTGGACGCCCAGAATGGCAAATACACGTTAAGCATTGCATATGTGCGCAACTGAGTTATTTCTTAATTGTATAGAAATTAAATTATTCCAAATTGTAGAGTCCTGATGGCAAATACATTGCAAACGGTGCAATCGATGGCATCATCACCATTTTCGATGTGGCTGCAGGCAAAGTGGCTCAGACTCTGGAGGGTCATGCCATGCCTGTACGCAGTCTCTGCTTCTCGCCAAACTCACAAATGTTGCTCACGGGCTCTGACGATGGACATATGAAGCTCTACGATGTGTAGGTGGTCGTCTTTTAGTAAATCAAAGCTCATTAAATATCTATTTAAAATTCTAGTGCACATTCCGATGTGGTAGGCACACTGTCTGGCCACGCCTCTTGGGTGCTGTGTGTATCCTTTTCGGAGGATGGCAAACACTTTGCCAGCTCTTCTAGTGACCGCAGTGTTAAAATCTGGGATACATCGGAGCGCAAATGTATTCATACCTTTACCGAGCACACAGACCAAGTGTGGGGTGTACGATACAGCCCGAGCAACGATAAAGTAATATCTGCTTCAGAAGACAAGTCCTTGAACATTTATTACTGTCCACCGAACGCTATCGTGTGATACAAAAAATGCGTCAATACAATTTGTATAATAAAAGATAGGTTTAATTTAATAACAAGCATTTTAACTATGAAGACTATCGATTCAATCGCTACCTAAATTTTATTATTCTATTCTGTACTTGGCTTTTTTTCAATCTGTTTTTGGGTAGATTGTGTCAGCAATTTGTCCTTGTACTTTTCGTCAGGTATATGGATGTTAAACGTCTTGAAGTAGAACAGAATATTTGCTGCAAGTAAAATCAATTAGCTCTATATCTAAGATTAAAATATTTAAACCTACCAACATGCGCCTCTTTTAGCTTGTATTGATCAGCTATTTTACTCGCTGTCCACTCTTCGGAATCTTGCTGATGGTCGTTGATAAACTGCATCGCTTGTCGTAAAGTGCAACGTCCACTTGATACTTTCGTTGGCTCCAGGTAGCCAAACTCAAAGTCAGCCGGAGTAGTTCGCTCCAAGGGTAGCGGTCTGTCAGCTCCTTGGCGTTGCACTACTCGTTGAATCTGAATACAATATTTAGTTTTTAATTAATATATTTCGCGATATATGTATATGTCTCTCATTTAACCCACAAATTGATCCTTTGATGTTACATAAACATCTTTTAGTCGAGTATCCAAGCTGGCGTCCTTTGTGTTTAGTTTGTTCACGAAGTCGGGATCCACTAAAATTCCAAGCAAAAAAGCAATATTAATAAAGCCGTTAATTGCAGCTGCATAAAGTGCTTACACTCCAAAGTTCTTTCCATGTCACGCAGATTCGACTCGTATTTTGGTGCCGGTGTGGGCTTCTCGCGTTCCAGTACACGATGTGCTCGATTCTCCACATTGAAACGATTGGCCTTGCGAGCCACCATAGACATGACCTTGCCCATTTCGTGTTTGTTTTTATTTTAATTAACAATTATGTTAAATTTATCGACTTAATGGCACAACAATAAAGCATTTAGCAATTGGTGCAGTTTGTAAACATAACCAACAAAAGCAGTGCTGGAAAACAAGGAAAGACAGTGCTGTACAACGTTTTCAAGCAGTGAGTGCTGTAAACATAAACAAGCCATTTGTACTCCGCAGACAATTGTTGCTGATTATTTAATTTAAAAACAGAAAAGGATAACAAAATGATGTCCCTGCGTGGCAGCTTCACCCTGTGCAATGCGAGAAACATTCAACGGATGAGCAGCTGTTATCAAAGCACCAAGTCCAAGCGGGCTGTGAAGGCGGAGCGGGTGGCACGTTATAGCGGCGAATTTCCAGAGAAGCTACTCAGCAAGAATCAGAAGAGCGTTTCTCACATGTATGTGGCCAATTCGCAAATAGCCGAACAGATTAATAATTATCTGGAGCCACATCTACAGCAAACCAAATGTGATACTGTTATGGAACTGAATCCTGGACCGGGTCATTTCACGAGACATTTGCTGGATCGGGAAACACAGTTTCGTAAGATCATTCTGATGGAATCGATGGAATACTTCATGCCGCGACTGCAGGAATTGCATGCATTGTATCCGGATCGCGTGAAGGTCCGTTATGGTGATTTTATTGCTCTATGGAAGCTGGCTTATATGGATAAAATGGATAGTGGGACACGTTTGCTCGATATGTTAAGCGATGTGCCCCGAACCTCATTCAATGAAGGTAAGAGATTTCGATTAGACTAATACATTGCAAGGAGATTTAAATCTTTCTCTCTCTGCGCAGATATCAACATGCTGGTTTTCGGTGCCGTGGGTTCATATGCGTTCTTCAAGCATCTGATCAACTCGCTGATATTCCAGATGAGCCTGTATAACTTGGGCCGGTGTGAGATGATTCTAGCAGTGCCGCCGCCCATTTTCATTGTGAGTATATACGATCTCCATATAATTTTCAATTGCCTATTAATATTTACTATTACAGCATCTGACTTGCTCGAACAAGATCGGTTATCTAATCTATCGCTCAGCCTCGGTGCTATTTCAAATACTGTTTGAGCATCGTTTCATAGCCAAGGTGCCTCGCGAGACTTTCCTGCCCGTGCAGGCCGACTATAATCTGTCTAAAAGCAGTAAGTTGGCTAAGGTTAAGTCAATCAATCCGGAATATTTGTATTTGGTTAAATTCGTGCCGCGTCGTAATTTGCATGAAATATGTCCAGTTCAAGATTTGCCTGCCCTATGGTTTTTTATAAAGCAAAATTTCGTCAGTCGACGGAATCGTATCATACCCAATATGGAGTAAGTAGTAATCGGGAAAGCATTGGCGCTTCGTGTATTGACTAATTCAATGTTTTTTAGAAAATGGGTACCTGGCTGTGGACCAAGGCTGATAATCAATCAAAATGCTCCAGAAAGAGTCAGGCCTCTTTACGAAGATGAGTCTGTCAAGCATTTGCCTCCATTTTCGATGCAGAGTACCACCATGAGTACACGAGATTATTATCCCGGCATTAATATATATACGCAGTTTGGCGATCTGACACCAAGTCAAATGCTAACGTTATTCGCACAATTTCGCCAATGGCCCGAATATAGCGAGAGTTCGTTCCTCGCTTCCATGGAGAATACATTGCTTAAACTGGAGTCGGTAAACGATGAACAAGGCATAGAGGATGGCGTTAATCTAGTCGAAGAGGATGACCTTAGCACCGAAGCTGTGGATGAACTACTTGAGGCCACCGGTGGTCCAGCTCCAGAGCCACCAAAAGTTCGTAGGAAAACTAAATCTACGGTTTAAATTCGGTTTACACATGTACATATTTAAGTAGTTGTTATTGTTGCCTTAAGCTAAAAAGTTGAAAATTCATGTTGAGTATTTTATTGACCTGATCCGCTTTCATGGAGCAGCTGTGCAGCGCCCTTGGGCAAAAAGCCTGCTTCCGCGCCCACATTTCTCCGCCAAGTCAATGTGGTATTCAGGCGGAGCAACTGAATTGTTAGACACATCTAAGGAGAAGCGCGTTTCCAGCTGAGTCGAGAGTTGTACACAATCCACCATGAGAGTTCTTGGATTAACGCCCAGCACGTAGGTGTATTCCTTTTTGGGGCAGGGATTTTTATTTTGATTCATGCTGCCGAACTCGAAGCACTTGTCGCGTATCAGAAAATGGCCATCCTGTCGACATGGATTATTGACACATTCGGGTATAACTTTCTCTTTGTACAATACTAATATCTGGCTATCGTTGCACGGCCCTTGCCTATATGCTGGATAACAGGCATCGCTTTCTGGATGATAAAGAGCCGCTGTTCATGTAAAATACACGTTTTAAATAATTATTATTTATATTATGTCATCGCTATATTAATGGACTCATACCCGGTGCGCAATCGCATATCCAGTCATTAAGCTGATCTCCAGGGTAAAGAAGCTGGTAGCGGGCGCAGCGAGCGGGCGAGTATAGCGGCTTGCGACCCTAGAGTAAGAGGAAAGAGAGAGAGAGAGAGAGAGAGTTTTGTGTCTAAATCTCATTTGCTTGATGCTAGTTTTATTTGTCTTATCAGCTGTTGAGGTCTTGTTGGATCGCCTACCGCCAGATTACTTTTCTGCTTATCGATGTCAGCATCCTCCACATAGGCAACTTGAGCACCGCCTAATCCTATGATAACCGTTAGCAAGCCATAAAATAACACAAAATGCCACTGGAACATGGTTGTTTCTATTTAGACTCTTTATGCAAATTAAAATGCCTCTGTTAATGAGCTTTGGCGCGAACGCTTTATGAAACCTCGAGCTTTGGTAAAACTTCGAATCCGACGTCCACTCGCTACAGCACAATGCATAACACTGATCTGAGGCTGGGGAGCTCAGAGAAATAGCTCCAAAGCTGAGCTCCATTCATTCAGTATTCACTCAGTACACATGTTAAAGATCATGTTAAAGGGTCAGTGTACATGTCCGAAATGTTATTACTCGCGAGAGTTGACAGCCTACTGTATAAAATTACGCACCGCTAGTAAAAACAAACTATATAGACAAGTTCAGTTTGTACAAAAATACCACAATATTATTTTGAAATATTCACTAAATTTATTGAAGTATTTTCTACAATCTTTTTCAATTAACAATAATGCGGTACACCTAACCAAATTTAAAAAAAAAAAAAAAAAAAAAAAAAGCTGTCATACACGTTGGCAACTCTGTCACTGAACCTTCAGCTGTATCTTTGTATACATATCAATAACACAGTAAGCGGCAGAAAAATCAAAGTTTTATTTTTCCAACGTACAAACATACAGAAACTATACTGAATATCCGAAAAAATGGATGACGAAGAGACTGGAGGTAAGTGAAGGTAAATTTGACGTAGTTTAAGAAATTCTAAATGTGAATTTGTTCAATGCGTAGAAATCGATGAGAACAGCTCATCCAGCACAAACACAAATACAAATGCAACTGCTACGGCAACGGAAACTGCTGGTGAAATGCATGTTGAGTTAGGACAAGGCGAGGAAATTCCAGAGAGCAGTCGAAACGGAGCTGGAACTGGGGCTGGGGATGGAATTGGAGCTGAAGCTGGAGCTGGTGCAATACCTGCCGAGGGAGCGGCGCATGTGAGTAGTCGTGAAAGGCTTGAGAATATGATTGAGGAAGTAGATAATATGTTCGAGGAGGTGAGTGAGCTGATGGTCGATGTCACACAGCTAATGCGACGCGCCAACCAACTACGAGAAGACACTGGCACGGGTGCAGTTCCGCAAAATCCAACTTTGGCCACAAATCCAACTCCTCCCGCTGAGATTGAGGAGGAGGCAGAGGGCCCAGAGCAGCAAGCAGAATACGGACTGGTGAACTACGACAGTCCAAGGCGGGCTAGCATCAGCTCTAGGCACAGCGGGAGTGATATGTCCCTGGACAGTCCAGTCAGCGAAGGTTAGTCTGATGTTATTACAAGACAAAATCTAATAGTATTTCCTATTAAACGTTGATACAGACGACTCGGATGCGGAGGCTGTGCCCCGTTGGATGATACCCGCGAATCGTGTCCGTTCTGCTGTGGATTTTTTGGTGTTACAGCGTCGTAATCGTGATGGAGGTATTACAACACTGTTACGACATGAAAACTTTTTGCAGCGCGTGCGTAGCATGGTTTTTAGCCAGGATCGCATTCGTGGCAGGGCGAGCGATGATGCTAACAACGCTGATGTGATCAATAATGTTCCAGATGATATATCCGAAGTATCGCCGCCGCCACCCTTGGACGTTGACATGGAAGAGGGAGTGCGTTTTGACACAAATCTGCCGGCAGAACATTCATATTTCGGTACGAATCTGAATCGTGTTCCCGGCGTGGACTACTTGGAAGTGGGCAGCACACATCGTATGCTGATATTCATGCATGAGCATGTACTCTTCCCTGGCGAGGTGCTGCCCTTCATGATCGACGGCAGCATTATTGACGAAGAAATCGAGGATTCGGGACGTGATGGTGTGATCTTCGGCGTTGGCTTTCCACTGATGCAGCCGCGTGACGACAACCCACAAAAGCTCTACGGCGTCACCTGTCAGATCTATGAGAAAGGCGAGAGTGGACGCCAGCATGTGTTTTACAAGTCACGCGCCTTGCAGCGCATTGTTATCAACTGCGATGATATACAAGGGTGAGAATGATACGCCAATGCTGGAACAAGGTATATTTTTTTGTTAATCTTTACATTTCTACTTTAGGCGGCCCCAGTACATTGCAAGGAATCCGACGATGAAGTGCTACAGCAAGGTTAAAATATTGCCAGAGTACTTTCTGCCAGAGCCGCTCAAATGCATTGATATGGGCTCATTGAATCGTTTTCGTGATATACCATCCATGCAGGATAAATTTCGTCGTTTTCAACTAACCACAACGCCCTGGCCTATAGAGGCCTGTGGGCTATACTCATTTGAGCATATTGTGGAGAAGGCACGTCAAAAGCTGGAAATACATAAAATAGATACCATGCCAAAGTGTCCCATACAATTGTCGTTTTGGCTTTTGCGCAATTTGCATCTCACGCAGACAATGCACCGCATGGCGTTCCTCACAAATTCTGTAAATATAAGACTGCAGATTATTGGCTCCACCTTGATGGAAGAGTCGCTCTTCTATTGCCGTTACTGCGACAGTAGTCTAGCCTATTGCTCTGATTTGTTTGCCATGTCTAAGCATGGTGTACAAACACAATATTGCAATTCAGGTAAGCTAATATATCGATGGAGTGTATCTATAACTGATGTCTTTTACTTTAATTTCAGCTGGCTACATACATGAGACAAACACAGTGTATAGGGTCATTGCCCACGCAATTGGTTACAGTGGGGAGCCATCCACCGAGTTCAGTTGGTTCCCCGGCTACCAGTGGCATATTATTATATGCAAGTTTTGTGCACAGCATGTAGGCTGGGAGTTTAAGGCAGTCGAACCCAATTTGGCCCCCAAAGTGTTCTTTGGTCTGGCTGGATCCAGCGTTCGCATTGGTAAATTCAGAGAACGGAAATGAGGCTGGCGACTGGTGAAACGTATTTGCAGGATCTGTGGTTGCTGTTGTCGTCGACGTCGTCAATCTGACAGACTCGCTTAATTTCTAAAGCTAAAATGTAGAACATTCAAATTCGTTTCACTATCTTGTCTAAATACTTATAAATTAGGAATGCAACAGTCGTCGGCTTCAGTAGTGGACAGGATTGTACGCGTGCGAACATTAAGATTGATTTACCAACTTATATTAATACCAATTCATATTTAAGAGTTAACGTAATTAATGTATTACTCTTTATTTTTTTAAATATAAATAATTGTATTCCAAGTAAATACATATATATGAATTAAAATCCCAATACATATTCGATTCCTGTGGAATGGATTTTATTTAGTTCTTGAGCAGCACTGCAAAGGATGTGGAGAGTTTCTGAAACGTTAAGCAGAATCTTGTTTTGTATACATATCTATTACAATATCTTAGGTAAATGCTTACTGCTTTGCAAAACGGACACTGGCCAAAGGATACTTCAAGAAATGTTTTGCCTTCGACTAGCGTATCGAACCATTCCTTCAGACACGATGCATGGCATTTCAGCACACAGCGAGAATTATCACAGGAGACAAGAGGCACCTCGCCGTTGTCCAGTCGATACTCGAAACAAATATTGCAACGCTGCTGTTCGTCATTATCTTTCTTCAGCTCATCCTCAGCGGGCATAGGAAAGTAACACATATCGAATATGTGCAAGAGATTCTTGTGCATGTCCAGCTCAATATCCCAATTGCCGAGCCCGTCGCTCAGCACGTGCCGTAAATGTACCACCTCCTCGGTGGGTCCTATGATTTGCACGGCCATGGATGCATAGCTGGCAAATGGATCGGCTATAGTTAGCTTGAGATATACACGCTCTTTAAGTGGAAACACACGTGTGTTATCCTTGGTTGTAATTGGGCACGGCTGCAGCACGTCGCACAGCTCATCAATACTTGAGAAACTGTCATAGAACGGGCGCAATTCCTCCAACAGCTTGAGATATAGATGCAAGATGTCGGTGAGAGAGTGAGAGTTACTTTCCAAAATATCTTCCAGTTGAATGCACTCGGGTAGGCTGTGTGCTATCAAACGCAACGACGGCAACTCCAATTCCAAATAATGTGCCTCATGCTCGATAAAACCACAGAAGCGAATCCTCGTGAATCTATCATTCAATTGCAGGCGATATTCTTGCGGATTGTGCAAATCCAGTATCTCCGTGTATATATTACTTTTGTGTTGATTTGAAATATCATCCGAAATAGGTTCTTTGGGTTTAAGCTGCGCAATATGCAGTAGCAGATCATCAAGTTGCCAGTTCGTCTTGATCTGTATATTTTCGGTTGTATAGCGCTTATATTCCAAGTGCTCCTGTAGGTTCAAGTGAAAGTCGCGCAGCTCTGGAAAATGTGGTAAATAGAGTTTCAATCGTATCCATTTAGAATTTACATGCACAACTCCACGAAGAGCTACGGCATTATCTTTTTTTTGCTCAAAATATAAGCCAGGATATTTTAGTGCCAACTGCCGTTTTAAATTAGCTTGCTCCATATTAGTTTTAAATTTAATTTGTTTTTAAATTTTTGGTATGCAAGCGACAGTGGTGTCATAAATAGTATGACCGTGCTTGGGCGCCAAGCAATCGATAAGATGGAAGAGATGTGGTGGCTGTTCGATAGTTCGCCTCCTGTCTCGATAACCATGTTAGGCATTTGTCTGGCAATTTCAAATCTTAGCTAATCTCGACGATAATGATTCACGTAATATGAGTAAGCAATAGTTCATGCCGGCTGTATTTACTCACTACTTTATTCTAATCAAAAACAATTTCAAACCATCTCAACGTCCCACTAATAGCTTCCCATTGCCACTAAAGAGCTGTTTACTTAGACTTATCAGTCTAATTTTATGTTATATACGGATTTTAACGAAACCTGGGCAAGCGTACACCTGCAGCCTACATTGTATGTTCATCATTATCATTATCATTATGCCTATAGTTTATTTTTTCTTCGCCATCTACTTTTTTTTTTAACACCTGGCCATCGATAGCAATCTGCGTCGCGTTTGATAAACCTCACACAACTTGACCATCAGTCCCAAACATTTGCTATTTAATGTTCCCCCGTTGAGTGCCTAGTTTCATTCACTGCTTTCAACTGCTGGTGGTTTTGTGTTGTGCAGTCTGCAGAAGCTTGTCGAACTATAATTTGTTTTCAATTTTCACTTTTCTCATAATGTTTCGTGTTGCTTTGCTGACCCTTGCCTACCTATGCATCACTTGTGGCGCTACACCAGTCAAAGAATGTAAGTTAATTAAATAAAATGGGGGCAAATGTTCACTGAAGGATTTTATCTATTCTAAATCGTTTAAGCATTTGACAATTTGTAGAATTTAACATTTTTGTTAGGTTCAGACTACACTTAATGAAATGACAGTAGAATCTGGTTATAACGTCTCCACTTGTAGTGTTTGGTCCCCAGAGAAACTTATACGGCTATAGCGTCGTCTGGGTATAATGATCCGTTTTGCGTCGCTACAGTCGGATTCTACTGTATTTTCAAAACTAAATGACCTTTTCTTTTAACTACAGAAGACCACTAATAAGTGTTTCAGTCACATCCCCACTTTATACCATAGAGTTGTACTAATTAATATTTAGAATATTATTAAATGTTTATAACAAACAATTAAATGTGGCCAGTGCTCATGAACCCGTAGCGTACATGTGCTTAAAGCCATACCGCCGAACTTTGCATTTTTGTCTTCTAATCAATTATCTAGTAGGAGGTATTTATTTTGTTGCTGATAAACAAATACGTTAATCATGCAATGAAACCAATTAAAATCTGAATGTATATAATATTGCAAATATAAGTATATATATGCCTATAACTGTCAATTCAATATATGACTTAGCTTTTGATAACGCTTATCACACGAGGAATGCAAAGCTTTCAGTGAACAATAAAAACTATAGCATACTCTAAAGAGCCGTAATGTTTTTTCTTGGCTTACAGGTAAAAATCTACCAGCTCCACTTAGCGTTGACATCAAAGACTGCCCGGAACCGCCCTGTGTGGTCTACAAAGGTCAATTTGCTATTATGGACGTCCAATTCCTGGGTGGTAAGTAAGACTTCCCCATATTCTTTACACAAAGTAATAGAGCTCCTTTCCATTACACAGACAAAAACAATATTGCGAGCATTACGGCAGAAGTAAAGGCTAGAGTATTAGGCATGAATTTGCCATACGATCTGCCCGAGGAAATATCCAATGTGTGCATGAATTTGTTGTATGGAGCCATGTGCCCCATTGATAAAGACGAGGATGTTACGTACAGGTTCAATTTTTATGTGGAGCCCGTATTTCCCGAAATTACGGCCGACGTCACTGTTACACTGAACGATTCCAATGACAATCCGATTAGCTGCTTTATTGTCAGCTGTAAGATCCGCAAAGGCCCATCATCGCGACTCGAGCTAGAAGCGATCGCTGACGATACGTTGATTGCATAGAGCTGTTGTACTATACTGCGCGACACTTCTGGACAAACTGATTTGACCATTTGGTCGTATGTTCACATTCTTTTCAAATAAATATCGAATGCTCAACTTTGTTTACCACAGTCGACGTCATGGTTTCGTTTCGCCTTCCAGTGCACCGCCTAATCAGTTCGCCTGATAAAGAATTTTGGTGTGCTTGATGACGTTGTGATTTGCACTCGAATTATAAATTAATATTAATTGCCTGGGTAGCTCAAATGCTAATAAAATCAGCATTGATAATCATTTATTGACCGGCAGCAAGCTTCATGAATTGGCCATATGGTGCTACTCGAATGGGCTCGATATAATAGCTACGATTTTGATTGAGTGCAAAACGACACTGAACGAAATAAGAGTCTATAAATTTTGATGAGTAAAATTAAATTAATATATGAAGTGAGAGCTATCGTTTTTAATATTAATTAATTAAAAATTAAATAATTAAAAATCTTCTAATTTGTAGTTCCGCGAGGCTGTATTTTTAGAGAGATGAAAAATTCATTTGATAGACCGAGGTATATAGACTGGGCTTTGTTGAAGAACTCTTTCACATAAATCAACTTTTTAAATTATCTCTATAAACTATTAAAATATTTCTTAAATTATTTAAAATGATTAAATATTTCAATCTGTCTTTAATAGGTATACATTTTGCACAGTGTACGGTGATTCTCACTCTTGAAATGTACTTTGATAAGTTCGACAGTCAATCAACGCCTTTTGCTATTGATAGCCTCTGGGTACATTTCTCTGTTCGGCCTTCACGTTTCTATTCCAGTGGTTGGGAACCAATGCGCGAACAGGTGTGCTAGGATCATACAGAACCTCACCTGCGCTAGCTTATCAATGTTTAGTGTTACGCTTATTAAGACTCAATACACTTGAATTCACTGTTGGAGTGCGTCGAACTTTTATGATCGAATGCACTTAAATCTTTAGTGATTAATTTTATGGCAATTTAATGTCTTTCCTGATGCAAAGAACTCTTAAAGAAAATAATTGTTTTTTATTTTTTTAGTATATTTTTAAAGCTTTTATTCACGATTAAAAAAATAAGAAAAACCTATCACAGTATTAAAATTCCGATATATAAATGAGTTTAATGTAGAACATTCCTTTAGTTCAGATAGTTGAGCTCGTAGCGAGTGCTGCCTTGGCCCTTCTTTACTTTGATATCGCAGACAAAGCAGGTGGCTATATCCTGATCCTGATCCACCAAATAGATTTCAATTTTGACACCAACCTCGGGATAATCACCAATTGGGAACTTAAACATGTAGGTAACATCCTCGGTGGGATACAGCGGACAGTAAGCGCCATACATGAGATTTGGACAGACGGCGGCTACATCTGGGGGCAGCTCGTACGGCACCGTTATAAATCCCAGTGTGGTGGCCTTCACAAGGGTTGTCAGCTTCGTTATATACTTGTCGACAGCAAAATCTATCTCAAATATTTGCGTTGTGCCCTTGATGATGATGCACGGCGGGACCACACATCCTGCGACACGCACCTCCAGCGGAAAGGGTTTATTGCCCGAGCCTAGAAATCGAATCGATTATTTATAAATATAATTTATATTTGTATTATAGAGTAAGTAATAATGGTAACCCACAGCGTTTGACTTCCGTGGCGGGCAATTTCTCGTCGGCCTGGATCCCACTCAGAAAAGAAACGACAAGCAAAAAGCTTAGACTGATTAGCACCTTCTGTTCCATTTCGTATTGTTTTATTTCAAGAACTAAATTAATATTTAGCAATTTGTTAGAAAGACTTCGTTTTTATAGCCACAACACATGAGCTCGAAGTGAGTGAGTGAATCGTCTTGGTTATCTTATCAAGCGAAGGCGTTTTCGAATTTGTGAACAAAACAATTTGGTTTGTCAGCCTTTGAGCACTTTTGTTTAAAGGAACACCAATCGTTGCGTAGCTAAATTTGCTCAGTCGAGTATAATGAATCTTCTTTAAGACCTAAATATATGTATATGTTTACCTCTACGTAAACAGTAAAAGAGCATTTTCATATGAGCAAATTTTGTGTGCCATGTAATTGTTCAAAAATGTCTTTTGAACTCGCACTCTATGCATATTAATTATTTATGGGTAAGATTTTTAAATGTGTGTCTCGGATTTGAAAAGCTTTTTATATATTTTCTCTGTGGGCAGAGAACGAAAATAGAGATTCTAAGTAAAGCACAATATAGATTATATATGTTTTTAAAATACTCTGGTCAGCTTAAGAGCCCAATTTTAAAATAGTACTTGTAAGTGCACAGCGAATGACACGAAACATTGTTGTCCCAAGCACCGCGTGGGATACAAAGCCAGTGCGAAATAAATCCTTGAACAGACAAAATCAGACGACCAAGCTTACTGATAAATGTACAAAGCATTTTTATATTTATATATACATATATATGTGTATATTCCCATTTATATGAAATGAAACCCAGAAACAGACACATTTGTACTGCAGCCAAAGCCATTGTCAATGAAACTTCAAATAAAAATAAAAAATTACACGAAACCGACTAAAAGTAAGCTGAAACATATAATTTTTCCGCAGTACGGTGAAAATTCGCCAGCGGTAAGTGTGCGAGGTGCTCTCATAAAGTTTGTACAATGAATAAAAACCTAACAAATTTTTAGCTGTGGTAGCTTTGGTACACTACAATACAATAAAATATGAAATTAAATTTGTCTGGTTTACCTCTTAACTCGTAGATCATTCGTGCTAATTTGATCTAGATCATCTCGATTTAGTCTGCGTTCAGTCACAATTCCTTCTTAATTTAGCATCTGATACACAAACTCAAATGACAGCCCTCGGAAAAAACATATTTTCGCAAACAGGAAAAAAAAGTTGGAAGAATCTCGTAATGCTACGGCGGGTGGTGGTTGGGTCTGTGGGTTGACATGTGGCCAGCGCAGCATGAGATTTTCGCATACATGCTGCTGAAATCTGTAGTCCTGTCCCCAGCTCTCGACCACTTCCGTATCTTCTGCCCTGCCACCTGGACGCCTTCTGCTTGATGTCACATACTGCACAGTTGTAATTGTTGTGGCATTATTTAATATGTCAAAGCAATGGCAAAATCCTATACAAAATGTCCTCATGCTGTACTCTCCTGTGTGTGTTTGCGTGTGTGTGTATGTCACGGCTTTTAGCTTCTTATTTTGCGAATGGGACCGCAATATTTGATTAACATCAAGCGCCTGGCATTGATTTCTGTCGTACTTAAATACATATATATTTGTATGCATGTATGTATATACATACATACAATACACAAGATTTTCTATTTTCAGTCCCATCTAATAAAATTATCTGAACCGGAAAATCTGAGCAGGGCGACCAGGCGGCATACTTTCACAGTCTCAGCATTACTTACCCCATTTGCCATTTGCCATTTCCGTTTGCACTTTTCTGCTCGTTTATTTTTGGATGCCTTCCCTTTGCATTCTTCCTGTTTTTTGCATATTCCCCAAAGTATTACCTGGCTCTTTTCACTATCCGCTTCCCTCGAGCTTAGCTGATGTGATGCCTTTTGAAATCGATAATGCGTCTTCTATCCTCATTTTCTGTTATTTAGGTTATTTATGTCATTTGGATTAATGATTCAGCGAATGCAACAGGGAAAATCTTTGATAATTCGCTGCATACTTTTATGCGCTATATAAAGTGGAGAAAGCTGCAGATACAGATACAGATACAGATACAGATACAGATACAGATACAGATACAGATA